TCGTACCGCTGATGTTTACGACATGATATATGCTACAGGCGCTATGTGCGGTTTGCTGTGTGCGCTGTAGTGGTATGTTGTATGTGTATGCTTTTCTCATATACGCTGTCATTTTCACGCTATAACTACCTGGTGGTTTTAGTGTTAGTTATTCATAAATTACTCGATCGAAGTCAATATACTGTTGAGAGTGCATAGTTGTCCTCGTGCCGTGTGGTCGTTCGTTCCTGACTTTTAGAGAACCAGAGGGTTCACAACATTTGGCGACCACGCCAGGATTGAAGCAAGCATGGCAGAGGAACTAGAAGAACTACATAATTTGGAAGCCAGCTTTATCGACACCGGAATGTGGTATGGATTTAAAGGCGATAGGTTGAGAGAATACGTGGAGAAGAGGCTTCGACAGTGCAATCAGTTTTAAGAGCGCAGTGCTAGACGGCAAGAGGGTGCGCTCCGCACATAGTTTAACGAAAAGCTCAAGAAGACGAACGAGCGCATCGCCAGCAGTACATATGAGGAAGCAAAGCGAGATTTGCTTGCCTCGGTCAGAAGGACGCCTGACAAGGCGTGGAAGACTTTGCTTACAGACAAGCCGCGGTCAGAGGAGTATTTAAAACCAGTTGGAGGATCAGATCCAAGGCCCACTGCGTCGGTGCAGTGGATGGCGACATCGGTCGGAGACGCTCAGAAGCAGCTGGAGTCTCGGCCGAAAGACGAAGAGGCGCAAAATGTAGAGGCGCAAGACGTAGAGGCGCAAGACGTAGAGGCGCAAGACGTAGAGGCGCAAGACGTACAGGCGCAAGACGTAGAAGCGCAAGACGTAGAGGCGCAAGACGTAGAGGCGCAAGACGTAGAGAGGCAAGACGTAGAGGCGCAAGACGTAGAGGCGCAAGACGTAGAGGCGCAAGACGTAGAGGCGCAAGACGTACAGGCGGAAGACGTAGAGGCGCAAGACGTAGAGGCGCAAGACGTAGAGGCGCAAGACGTAGAGGCGCAAGACGTAGAGGCGCAAGACGTACAGGCGCAAGACGTAGAGGCGCAAGACGTAGAGGCGCAAGACGTAGAGGCGCAAGACGTAGAGGCGCAAGACGTAGAGGCGCAAGACGTAGAGGCGCAAGACGTAGAGGCGTAAGACGTAGAGGCGCAAATGTAGAGGCGCAAGACGTAGAGGCGCATGAGGAAGAGGCGCAAGACGTAGAGGCGCAAGACGTAGAAGCGCAAGACTTAGAAGCGCAAGGCATAGAAGCTAAAGAAATGAGAAGGGCGATACTGGTTAGCACGGAAAGAAGTGAGCGGCGAGACTGTGTCAAACACGGAGATCGGATGTATGTTATCTGGTCCAGCGTCTGCCCCACGAGACAGTGGCCCAGTGACCGTGTCGTAGGAGACAGCCCAAATCTGCAAGCTTGGTGAAATTATCGGTTGTGTGTTGTCTGGTCCAGCGTCCGCCCCACGTCGAAGTGGACCGGTGACCGTTTCGTGTGTGACAGCCCACAGCGGCAAGCTTTGCGGAATCGAGTTGGCCAAAGTGGTGAGCAGTAATGATATTCCACCTTGGCCACCCCCACAGCAGCGGATGACTCGTTCTGTTTGTTTAATCAGAGACCCCGGTCGGTTTTGACTTGTGAGTTGTTGTATGGGGGTGAGAAGCCCTTTGGTGGGGAGAATGTTGCGAAACCACAAGTTCTCAAGAGTTAAAGGCCTTCTCGCTTGTGACATTGTGTTCGTTTCAATGCAGTTGGATCCCGACTCTGCCGTATTGCTGATGTTTACGACGTGGTATACGCTACAGGCGCTATGTGCGTTTTGCTGTGTGCGCTGTAGTTGTATGTTGTATGTGTATGCTTTTCTCATATACGCTGTCATTTTCACGCTATAACTACCTGGTGGTTTTAGTGTGAGTTATTCATAAATTACTCGATCGAAGTCAATATACTGTTGAGAGTGAATAGTTGTCCTCGTGCCGTGTGGTCGTTCGTTCCTGACTTTTAGAGAACTAGAGGGAATCAGGAGATTCCAGGTTCGTATCCTGGCGTGGTCGCCAAATGTTGTGAACCCTCTGTTTCTCTAAAGTGTGAGGAACGAACGACCCCACACGGCACGAGGACAACTATTTATTCTTGACAGTATATTTCACTTCGATCGACTAATAATAATGAATAACTAACACTAAAACCACCAGGTAGTTATAGCGTGAAAATGACAGCGTAAATGAGAAAAGCATACACATACAACATACAACTAAAGCGCACACAGCAAACCGCACATAGCGCCTGTAGCGTATACCACATCGTAAACTTCAGCGGTACGGCGGAGTCGGGATACAACTACATTGAAACGAACACAATGTCACAAGCGAGAAGGACTTTCACTCTTGAGAACTTGTGGTTTCGCAACAATCACTACTGCTCACCACTTCGCCCAAGTCGATTTCGCTCAGCTTGCCGCTGTGGGATGTCACACAAGAAACGGTCACCGGTCCACTTCGACGTGGGGCGGACGCTGGACCAGACAACACACAACCGATAATTTCACCAAGCTCGCCGATGTGGGCAGTCACACACGACACGGTCACCAGTCCACTTCGACTTGGGGCGGACGCTGGACCAGATAACGTACATCAGATCTCCGTGTTCCACAGAGTTTCGCAGCTCACTTCTTCCGTGCTAACCAGTATCGCCCTTCTCATTTCCGTAGCTTATACGCTTTGCGTTTCTACGTCTTGCACCTCTACGTCTTGCGCTTCTACGTCTTGCGCCTCTACGTCTTGCGCCTCTATGTCTTTCGCTTCTACGTATTTCGCCTCTACATCTTTCGCCTCTACGTCTTTCGCCTCTACGTCTTGCGCCTCTACATCTTGCGCCTCTGCGTCTTTCGGCCGAGACTCCAGCTGCTTCTGAGCATCTCCGACCGATGCCGCCATGCACTGCACCGACGCAGTGGACCTTGCATCTGATCCTCCCACTGGCTGCAAATACTCCTCTGACCGCTACTTGTCTGTAAGCAAAGACTTCCACACCTTGTCAGGCGTCCTTCTGAGCGAGGCAAGCAAATCTCGCTTTGCTTCCTCATATGTACTGCTGACGATGCGCTCGTTCATCTTCTTGAGCTTTTCATCACACTCTATGCCTAGCGCACCCTCTTGCTGTCTAGCAAGGTGCTCTTCACGCTCCTCGCACTGTCGGAGCCTCTTCTCCACGAACTCCATCAGCCTATCGCCTTCAAATCCATACAGAATTCCGTTGTCGATAAAGCTGGCTTCCAAAATATGTAGTTCCTCTAGTTCCTCTGCCATGCTCGCTTCGATCCTGGCGTGGTCACCAAATATTGTGAACCCTCTGGTTCTCTAAAGTGTCAGGAACGAACGACCACACGGCACGAGGACAACTATTCACTCTTGACAGTATGATTCACTTCGATCGACTAATAATAATGAAAAACTAATACTAAAACCACCAGGTAGTTATAGCGTGAAAATGACAGCGTATATGAGAAAAGCATACACATACAACATACAACTACAGCGCAACACAGCAAACCGCACGTAGCGCATGTAGCGTATACCACGTCGTAAACATCAGCGGTACGGCGGAGTCGGGATACAAATGCATTGAAACGAACACAATGTCACAAGCGAGAGGCCTTTCACTCTTGAGAACTTGTGGTTTCGCAATACCATCAGAGAAAATGGAATCAGTTTGGCTGTGCCTTTACTCCTTGTTTCGCGGAGTTCTGGAGAGCGCAGATGAAACCAGGGACTCGTAAAATATTTTTCACGACTCTCTGGTGGAAACGAGTAACTGACGTATGGCGGATCACGCAGCTTGAAAGCCAACTTACTTGAACAACGACAACATCAAGTCAGCGGAGTGTGATCAAAGAAGCCGAGGCAAGGCTGAAACGAGCTGAACAACGACTTGAGAGAGATGACGACTCGCGTGCAGCAGATGACGACTCGCGTGCAGCAGATAACGACAGCGACGCAGGTCAAAAATGAGTCGAGTGAAAGCGACGCAAACTGAACTCTCTGCTCATTCCGCCAACAGTTTCCATTGTAAAGATGCTGTACATAGGCTGAATAACCTTCGTCCAGTGATTTGCAGTCGATACAAACTGTTCTTGATCTGATCTAAGCGTTTTCATATCCATCAAAATCCATCACGAAATTTTTATTAGCGGAGGAAGTAACAAGATATTTTGTGAATAAAATTGCTGCAAGTATACATTCACGCTTGCAGCGCGCATGAAATCTGTCACAGTACACATGTATAATGCATGTATCTACGAGGTCATGTGACTAGGAGAGCAAGACATGCTTGGTGGATGTATCTGGCTTGGCCCAACATGCATTATCTAGTCTTGTAGGTTCTTCCCAGCCATGTAAAACGTTAGTTGCTTGGCTTCTTTCTGTCTGACAAGTCTGTGTACAACACCAGACCTGCACATGACAGGGATTGAGTTTTCAAGTTCATTGCAGCAAGTGCAGACAACAATGTTACTATTGTAGCGTTGGCATGCTGGGGACTTTCACAGCGTATAGCGTATTGCGTATAGTGTATCCCCGTATCAACTAGAGTAATATGTGGTTCCCTGAAGATCTATAAAATTGCTAAATTATTCTCAACCACTCCATCAGAGCCAACTGTAACTGCGTTCCTTTTGCCTTTTTGCTGACCATTTTTGTCGACCTTCACCTATCATTTCGGGCATTCTTTTTACCATCTTGGAAGGCGCCCAGAGCTCCACAATTTGGCCCATAGATCACTCATTTAGTGGACAGTTCAAAGCCATCAAAAACTAATTTTCGCCAAATATCACCTAACCCTGTTTTTTTTGCTGCCCATGCCTCATAATATGTGTTTGCACTGTCCTTTGCTAATCTAAACAAGCGGGTTTGACTTATTTGCTACATATCCGTATCAAGCTTGCTACTCAACTCATCTAACCATAGCATTCCTCTATGTGTTTGTACTGTCTCTTCTACTCTTCTTGTTTTGCAGACTGCTACGAATGTGGCGATGAGGGACATTTTGCCCGCGACTGCCCCAAGTGTGGCCATCGCACCTCTAATTGCTACAATTGCGGCAAGGAGGGTCACTTTGCCCGCGAGTGCACCAACGAGGTGGCATCCCATGGTCACTCTAGTGGTTTCGGTGGCAGCTCTGGCTTCGCCGGCGGCTCTGGCGGTGGTGGTGGCTCCCGCTTTGGTCACTTTGCCCGCGAGTGGACCAACGAGGTGGCATCCTATGGTCACTCCAGTGGTTTCGGTGGCATCTCTGGCTTCGCCGGCGGCTCTGGCGGTGGTGGTGGCTCCCGCTTTGGTGACTCCGGTAGCAATAGCACCTGCTACAACTGTGGTCAGACGGGCCACTTTGGCCGTGATTGCCCCAGTGGATGCTCCAGCGGCGGTGGTGGAGGTTTTGGTGGCGGAGGAAGCGGTGGTCGCACTTGCTACAACTGTGGCGAGACTGGTCATGTTGCTCGTGACTGCCCCAACGCTAGCAACTCAGGTATAATAAGGTCATTATGTGTGTACAAAACTTGTATTGGTAATAACTTTGCCATACATTAATATTTTCAACCAAATTTTCTGTGTCGATACATTGGCTTAGGGGCTGTCCACAAATAGCGATATTTTTTTAGAGAAGATATTCGTTCGTTTGGGGGGAGGGGGGTTGGGCCCTGTTCGTCTCGTCTTTGAGAAAAAAATATCGAACTCTATAATATGAACGGGCACTGTTCGAACATGTAGTTTATGACCTACACAAAGTGAAAGTCAACCTCGTGAACATAGCCATGGCAAGGTCGTGTGACCGTGGCAACGTAAACCTACATGTAGGTGTATGGTGAAATTAGAGTGGCAGCTGGTCATGTTTCATGAGGAAATTGCACTTCATTTAAAAATATCGATCCTTTGCATAAATATGTGTATGTTCGTTTTGAGGGGGGCATCACACTAGCTGTAGATCTACAGTGCATGCAAACGAGCTCGAACGCTGGTCACAGACTCACAACTGAGTCTGTATGCACGACTGTGTTGGTGTCGTTGTGACTTGCAAGTAACAATGCCCTCTGTACTGATGTACTTAGTATTGTATGTGACATGACCAGGATCAGACTCGTCGTGAAAGCGACCATGCATTGAGTTCAGCAGCCAAAAGGTGGGCTCCGAAATATTCTAGATTTCTGTACGAACCATGATTAGACCTGCGAAGGATTTGGCACTTTCGTTAGTTGACCAGTCAAGGCTTACAACTCGTGGCCTAGAGTCGCAAAGTGTTGTCGTACGTCGGCAACACCTTCAGTACAAGTCGTCAGCATTGTACTCACTACACTGTTGAGCTTGAGGGGGCCACGCACAGTCCTGCAAGGGAGCTGATGTAGTAGCTGCCTTTTCTCCACCTGCTCCCAGTCCCGTGCCATCTCCACACATATACAAAGGGACGACGATAACTACATTCGAAGACTGTTTATTGACACGATGACGAAACACAACTAGACATGACGAACTCAAGACGAAGACATGATGAACTCAAGACGAAGACTGCTTTTCATACCCACAGCAACACGCGCATACACCAACATAACGTACACACGACGTACACAAAATAACGTACTACATACGATTTGGTAAGTCTATCGATATACGGTCCATACGGTATGATACGGTAGAAAGTCCGTCTACTACACTGATACCCTTGTTTGTTGAGCAAGAGTGGCGCCTCATCTCGTGTCGTAAGACGCAAAGGGTCGACAGTACTTCGCGTACTCTAGATCCAAGGCCCGTTGGAGGCAACACGGCATTGCCGTCTGCTGTTATGTTTGGGGGAAGAGCCCATATCGGGTAAAGCCACAAGAATGACACAGCTACGCTTCCCGCCTGCTGCACTGCATCCCAGCCACCGGATCGCGGACCAAGATTATGCCAGCATTTGGAGATCACTGATATTTACATTTGGGTAAGCGAGCTCCCCGTATTGATTAATCTTTGTACTATATTCTACCGTAGTTTGGCTGATTGCACATATTGCAACTCTTTTTGTAACATAGAAATCATCCTTACGCATTCTTGCCGCTGTATACTTTTGATCACATGATGTAGCATATATAAGGAGCTGTTTTGCTGGCATTCATCCTCGACTCTCGGGGAGCTCACTACTCTCTCGACTCCCGACTCTCGGGGAGCTCACTACTCTAGTGCTCTCTCGCTTGACTCCTGCTTTGGGGTTTTGACTCTTCACGCTTGATCTTTCGATCTAGTACTGCAATGGTTCAATAAACACTGTTCAAGTGGAATTAGAAACCTGTCGTTCTGTGTGAGCTAGCAACTTGGATGGCGACTATATTGGTCGTCTACCTGGGTAGCCACTAGACTGATCTAAGCCAAGTCACAAACCCGCCAACGCGCGGCCGTGACGTATGTACAGAAACAAGGCAAGTGCAGTTTTCAGTGCGTGGACTCGCTTACTAAAACATTTTGTGGAAGCAAACAAGCCTTCTTTGTGATCTCGGTCATTTTTCTCAATCGACTCTGCGCTTCGAGTTAGATGTGTCCGTGGGGTATTGCCCAACGTGCCCCAGGTCGCGCGAGCTAATCACTTTTGTCAGCAGAACTCCTGCTCGCGACTCAACACAGTTATTCCGTCCGTTGTCATCGTCATCCCCGCTGCGAGTAGGGAGCTTCATGCCCACGATAAAAGAGAACGTCATGATATTTGAATCCTTCATCAGAGAAGCTATTCGAGCTCAAAACGACACAAGACAATGGCCATGATAAAGATACTCGTACAGATCGCGATGTGACTGGCCTCCAATCCAAGTGCTGTAAAAGACTGGAACACGGCCAAACGCCATGTTTTCCTTGGTAGCATGACATCAGCCGCATTATCACCATGGCGAGTTGCAGCACAGATCTTGAAGTACAGCGGCACCAGAAAAGTGTCCTTATTCTACCTGAGGAGGAGAAGAAGTGCTACAGCTGCAACGTGTCTGACCACTTTGCTCGCGACTGCCCCACCGCTGCCTCATGAAGCGGCTGTGAACGTGGCGCGATGAAGCAAGCAGTTGCAAGAGTTGGATTTGTGTAGGTCGTGGTGTATAATTATGTGTGTAGTCAAACATGCATTGTGACGAGACACCGCTGCTCCGCGTTGTGTCGAGCAAGCTGGCGGCACCGGCAGAGTTTAAGAGGAGCTCTCTCTCTCTCTCTCTCTCTCTCTTTCTCTCTTTCTCCCTTGACTCGCCTCTGCCCTTGTTCAGTTTGGTGTCCGATGATGCTGATGTTGATGCAAAGCGCGGAACATGTGCGTGTGTGCCTTTGCTGCTGATGCTATATCAGCTCTCTGCGCACAGGGCATACTGCATCTTTGGTTGTTAGCAGGCAGTTGATACTCCTGCTGCCAGGGTTACATGCAGTTGCCCTCTCCAGTGTATTCTTTGTGTGTATGCGATTGCATTGGCTGGTATGCTTCGGACACAGGATAGCCGGGTGTTTTGCACTGTACGCCATGTGTGAGGCGACCCTGAACCCGCAGGATCCCGTCCTCATCAATGGCTGGTGCTAGCTGTCGTAGACGACTGCTGGTGCTGACAGGCTGGCCATCGCTCAACAATGCCACTTCTACGGCAAAACACTCTGCCTGCACAGATTTCATCCAGAGCTGTTAGGCCGCATCCATTTCCTTGGCTGAGATGGCTGATTGATTTGACAGTTTGTCCGCGAACTCTGGCCCGCGTGTTTGCGATGAACCTGGCAACATACGCGGTTGTGCAGATGAGACGTTTCCATGACAAGAATTGGTTGATGTCATTTAGCGATTCGGCAAATTGCTGGGGCCTTGGCAGGGATATTGTCGCCGCAACGAACTCTTTCTTCACTTCGGTCGTGCCGATGCACTCATCCGACGTTGCCTTTGCAGCTGGCCACGCTTCCCATGACTGCATTAGAAAATCCGGACCAGACTTCCATCGGCCGCAGCTCAGTTCGTGCATGGAGATACCACGAGATGCATCATCTGCAACATTCAGCAGTGTTGGTACCCAGTGCCAACTGCTGGCCTCACTGGCGTCGCAGATCTCAGCTACTTGGTGAGCGACAAACGGCTTGAACAGTCGCGCATCTGACTTGAGCCATTGGAGAACGGTTCTGGAGTCTGACCAGAAACAGGTGCTGTGCCACTTAAGCCCATGCTGTTAGGCTAACATCTGGGCGAGTCGACAGCCAAACACCACAGCTTGGAGCTCCAGATGTGGAATGGATGTTGGTTTCAGTGGGGGCTACTCTAGTCTTGGTGGCAACCAAGCTGCACTCGACGTCATCTGTGTGCTCCACTCTCAGGTACTCCACTGCCGCAAACGCTTTGCTGCTGGCATCGCAGAACACAATGTCATGTAGAGACAAGTCAGTAGCGAACGACGTGAAACAGGAGTATGCGCGTGAGATTCTGAACTGGCTGATCTCCAGCAGCTGTCCACACCAATTCTGCCAGCGCGATAGCAGCTCGGGTGGAATCCCATCATCCCAACCGATGCCACTCAACCAGATGTCCTGGAGGAGTATCCGTGCGGCAATGACAAACGCAGACAGGAAACCTAGCGGGTCGAAAACTGACATGACGATGCTAAGTAGGGTTGCTTGGTGGGCACACAGCTGCTCTCGGCGTGTCACGTTGAGTTGAAACAGGAACTCGTCACTGTTTGGATCCCACCAAAGACCCAGCATGCGCTCTACCGGCAGTTGTGAGCTGAGGTCAACGACTCCAGTTGCTCTCGTATCAGCTGGCACAGCCAGTCTCACCAGGTTGTCGCCACAGGAAGCGCTGAGCTGGCTGGTCTTCTAGGTATATCCGAACTTGATGAAACATCTCTTTGATGTCAGCCGCAAAGGCCATAGCACGTTGGCGGAACTTCATCAGGACACCCACGAGCTGGTTCTGCAAATCTGGGCCTGGGAGCGGTGCGTCATTTAGCGACATCCCTCTAGCTTTGGCGGCCGCGTCGAATACAAAACGTAGCTTCTCCGGGCTTGTTCGGATTGAATACAGCGAACTGCAGTAAGTATCAGGTATGTGCGGTTTGCTCGGCAGCCTCTGCTGGTGTTAGCTTACGAGCGTAGCCTTTCTGAACGTACTCATCGATCTTCTGGGCATACTCTGCTGCGAATTCTGGAGACTTAGCCATCCTTCTTTCTATGCCCATTAGACGGTTGAAAGCCATGTCATGGCTGGGCGGAAGCTTGGGCTGATCTGACTTCCAGAGGAGGCCTGTCTCATACCGGTCACCAACGCGAACCGTGGTGTCATGCAGGATACTTTCAGCACGGATCATGGCCTTTGGCTTGCCAGCAGAAGCAGACGGTACAACGCCAAAGTTCTCAATGGTGAATGACTCCTTCACTAGTTGGTAGATCGCCTCCAGTTCGAGTTGATCTTGGTGAGTCCGAGCTCCAATGCGACCGTGCACTACCCAACCAAGAAGGGTTCTCGTCAGCATAGGTGCATTTGGCGGGCCT